AAAACTCTTGGTGTTCATTCCTTTTTCCTGTTTGTGTGTTAAACTTACGTACAACGCTCAAACGCGAATTTACAAACTCTACCGCCGCGTATTTTCTAACACGCAACAATTATACTTCTCTTTTAATGGCCAACTTTCTGCATCATAAAATATTGCAAGTCTAACTACCATCTTATAGAATTTTTCCTCAAGTTTTAGGGAGATTTTTCTATCACACAACAAACCCGATGCATTCATCTACTTCAACCATCCAAAGTTATTTTAAAAGCAGCAAAAAAATTGTCCCAAACGAAATCTAAGCCTTCATTTGAGACGGTTCTTCTAATATTTTCTAAGTAGTTTTTAATATAAAAAGTTATAGTTAGAAAAAATATTATAATAAAAAACTGTTTTAAAACCCATTAACAAATACTTCACACACGAAACCTAATCATACAATATTTTAATAGTTCGATTTGACCATCTATGTTTGACCATTGAAGAATTATTTTCTAATTAGTTATTATTCTTATGTTAATGAAATTATTTAATTACCCAAAATAATTATAACTTATTATTGATGACTCTTTCAAAAAACCTTCTTAATCATGATTAAGCAAATTTTTTATAAGGTTTGGGAACTAGTTTAAGTTGGCTTTAATCAGGATTAAGCTGGAAGCAAACAATCCCTTGCAAGTTGGGTCATTCACGCTGGCAAATTGTAATTTGAAGTTAAAGGTAGACAATTTTTTTAATAATTGACTTGTCTTCAAAAATCACGTGAGGATACAATAAAGCCATCAATATTTTTATTTTATTTTTTTTGGTAAGGTGAGTACGCCAATCTGGATTATTAAAATTCTCAAATTTATTTCCAACCAATACGCTATAAATATAAATATAAACACAAAATAATGTCATAATGTATCAAAATATCATTATATAAAATGTATATTTCAGACTTTAAACTCCATAAATTGCATTGAAATTAGTGCTACATATAATATCATGATGTAAAATTACAATATAAATATCATCTTTATATAATAACATTCAACAAAAAAAATAAAAAAAATCAACCAAATATACCGCCAATATTTTTCCAATTGTGCTAATTAAAGAGCCATGCATTAAAAAGTGATTAAGATTTTGTTTGGGACGGCTTTTTATTACTTCTTAAAGTAGTTTTTTAGTACAAAAATTAAAACTTTTGTACTAAAAAGTTATTTTTAGAAGCAAGAAAACAGTTGCCCCAAACAAAGCGTAAGACTTCATTTGAGATAATTTTTTTACTATTTTTTAGTATAAAAATTTATAGTTCAAAATTATTTTTATTAAAAAACTATTTTATAAAACAGTAAAAAATCGTCCCAAATGAAACCTAAATCACAAATGATGATTAAAAAAACACTATTAGCATATCACTATCTTGAAATATCATCAAATATTTGGAAAAGGGCTAATGATGATAATATATAATTAATGTCATTCTTCTCAACTCAACTACCAAAACAAATTATTTGACCTCCAAGATAATGACTCATTGAACGAACATTAAAGTCTGAAAAAGCCAAATAATGTTGTTGGCCGAATAGGATGGCCGATTTGGGCTTCGTCAATACTCTTCCCAAACAATTTAATTTTATGGTTGGATTGAGCCTCCAACTTTTTAATAAAAACAATATAATATATATATATGTATATAAGTTCAAATTTTGTAACAATTCATTATTTTTTTTTTTCTTTTCATATAAGAGAAAGCCATTGATCCATGTAATAATAATTTATTGGCTTCTAAGACTTTCCAAATTAGTTATGTGTGATTTTTTTTTTTAAATAGCACCTTATTTTATACTTTTAATTTTATTAAATCATTATTCATTTGTAGTTTTCATCATTTGTAGTTTTCATCATTAGGAAAAATTTAAGTTACATAAGAAATCAATGCTAGGGTCAATAAAATGCTCGTAAAAATAGTAAAAAATCATAAAATAAAAAAATTAAGAAAAGGACATATTTATCATAATTATTATCAAAACAGACATAGGATAAGTCCAAAAAAATGTAGTCGTACTTATATCATTGCATGATATCATTATTCACAATATTTTATCAAAGATTGCTAGCTTAATTGCATGTATGACCTAGGAGGGCATGTACAACCATTTATAGAGGCAAACACTTAGATTTTGGAAGTGATGTGCATATAAAAAAACATCAAAATTATTAAGCATGCATGGAACAAACTTTAGATTCCTATGAAACTCTATGCAAACTCGAACTCGATCATAAAAGTTCATTTCGGGTGATCTTTAGGTTATTATCTCAAAGATATTACAATTCAACCAAAATATTGACACAATGACATATCTGATTTGTGAGCAATTGATCAAAAGTCACTGATCATTGCCTCATAATGATTGAATGATCATCACAATTGGTGATGTCCCTAATTTAAAAATAAATTATAGTATTTTGAGGGTCTACAAGCGACGAGTCCAACAGAGTTGGCTTCAAAATTATAGTTGTTGAATTGACTAAAATAATTATAAAAATACTCACAAACCAAAGTTCAGGGCATTGAAAAAATTAATATATGGCCTTTGTTGTTGAAATATTTGCCCTATTGTGCTGCCAAAGAATCCAACATTTCAACTGGCTTATGAATTAGAAGGATATAAATATTCTATGAACTTTGGAAATATATGTATTAGACAAACTTTATATATCGCATTATAATTTGAGGTCATGGATCAATTACTTATTTAAAGAGGATGTTCAGGGGTTGGTTACCTTGTCAAATTAGATTTATTTGATTCAAAGCTCAAACATTTGATTTTATTTGAACCATTGTGACAAAATGATTATTTTGATTATAAATTAAAAAATTAAGAATATACTTGAACAATGAAATAATTTTTTAAAATGGTCAATTCATCTTCAAAATAATTACATTTGGGTCAAGATCATGCTTGATCAATGTGAATTATTAGTTAAAAATAATTTAAAAAATTTCATAATATTTATTCAAAAATGATGAAGAAGTATTGCAATGTTAAGGGGTAGAAGAAAGCTTAATGCTATCATTTACTTGCACTCTCAAAAAAAAAAAAAGATGGAATGAAAGAAACCTTTTTTGCTTGTTTAAGAGCTTATTTAGCTCTTTTAGGATTTTTAATATGTAAGGTTGAAAATTGAAATCATCAAAATAATTCTAAATACTACATAGATAAAATGCATAGTTCAAATTTTCTCTTCTCATAGCTCATTATTGATTAATGAGGATCTTATATATTAATATTTTCTTTTAATAATCAAAAATAAATTATCATAAAAAGAGCAAGATTTGAAATGATTAGAGTAGCTCCAATGAAAGATAAGATTAGACAAAATCATCTTAAATGTTTGATGTCATAAAACAGAGGCCTTTTGATGATCCAATTAAAATAGTAAATGTATTAAATTTAATTTACATTAAAAAAATGTAGAGACATAAAAAATTTTGATTAAAAAATATTTAAAATAACTTTTTCTTATTAGATTTACATGAGAATTTGACCATTGATATAACACAATAGAAACAAATTTATTCATATAACCAACCCCACAATGATATAAAGGCTTGATATTTTTATTATTATTGTTGTAGAGAGCATAACAAAGAAATATATATCACTGTCACACACCATATCAACTATAATTAAATAAATTATTAGATTCTTTTTTTTATGAGAGAAAAAAAGATCTAATAAATCTTGGATGATTGTACGATGAGTTATAACACATACTAACAATATTCTGTACCTAATAATTTCTCCTACTATTATCATCACCATCTAATAGCCCATACAAGACAATATATGTAGAATTACTATCACGAAATATTTTTGAAAAAAAAGAGTACAAAATATTCAATTAAAAAAATGAATATAATAACCATTAATATTCTTAATATTGTAATTATTTATGTATTATAATTATGTTAAAATAAATTAAAAGGTTTATATTTATATTTATACGCTACAAATACAATTCGTATTTACATTCCAAAAAAAAAATCCTTTTGGAGCACATCTACCTTAACTCCAAAGCTAACAATAGGTGGAAAATGTCTAGCTAAACGAAAAATGAATGGAACAGACTCCCAAGCAATGAAAATTTTCTGCAGCAGATTATAATATGGAAGAGGAAGTGGGTATCAATCGCTAGAGCTACTTTCAGAAAACCTTTTTCCTAAAAAGTGTCGAGACGGGTAGAATCAAGCCCATTGAGGCCATTGCTGTCACTGCTAATGATGAGTTGAGGAGGAGGAGCTAGAAATTGCCAGGGGCCAGCCGAAGGTGGCTGCAGAGTACATAAAGGATGTAAAATTCAGATTATAAACCTTTAAACTTCTAGTTTGTTTCCATCAATATATAACGAGAAAACATTTGGGAGGTAAAAGAGATTACCCAATGCATATCAAGCCCTTCAAACTGGTTATTTACATTGATTGTCGCATTCATATCAACCTGCATTTCTTCCTTCTCTTGATTATTAGCTTGACAGTCAACTAAAAATTGATTAGTCTCGGCTTGAATAGGCTGCGCACCTTCGGATATCAAGGTCGTATTGACTGGCTCAACTGAAGGCTGCAAATGTTGAGTATAGGCAGTAAAAAATTCATCAAGTTTTGAACTAAAAATATTTATAGTTAGTAACGAATAAGCAAATATTTACCACTTTGAACGGTTTCACTATATGGTGTTCAGCATTTTCACTAGTTGAAGGGATAGGGGTAACTTGAGATTGAACTCGAACATTTTTGTTCAAAGAAGTGGAGTTATGAAATGAGAAAGGATTGCATGTTTCTTCAGCATCTAGAATAGATGGTTGGACCATTGCAGAGGATTGGTTTCCAGCTTGATATCTCAAAATATGTGCTGCAATTGCAGCATCAAATGAATCACAGCTAATTGCAATCTGCTTCTGAGGCGCTTGAGGGCAAACTTTAGCACCTTCAGCTGCTTCTACTTCAGAAAGTAGAGCTCCAAAACTCATATTGGAAACACAATCAATCCATGAAAGCTTCACATCATTTTCAGGCCTCACATTATCCTTTTTTCCATCAATACTTGGAATTAGAAATGAGAACAGTGCAGAAGAAAAACAATTATTAGATAACAAATAGAATCATGAAATACCGCTGCTTCAATTGTTTTCATGGGAGCAGTTTCTAAAACAACTTGTTTCAGCGGCGGTTCAGCCGGTGGTGATTCGCATTCTCGGCTTAGTCCTGTACACAGCTCTTTTTCCTGATCATCAACATCCTTTTTCTGAATTCCCTTGAAAGTTGACTGATTAGCCAAATTGTTTTGACACAAGTTGCTGATTTTTGGGCCAAGATTATTGAGCCATACATACCTAAACAAGATGGAAATCATGGTGTATGAAGTTACTCGTTAATACACTAAAACACTTCATCACGTAAATTTGAAAGCCACCAAGATAAAGAAAAACCTTAGCCTAAAAACAGCTGGTTTACCAATGGCGGCATGGACTTCAGAAGCTGTGATATCAGAGTCCTTCAAAGTCCATCTTTTATATCTCTCCAGATTTTCCATTCGGGCATCATAAGGAAAGAGAGTGAGCTCTTCTGATGCACTTCTAGAATTTCCCCACTTGATATTTAGATGCCTAATTACTGAAGCTATCTTCTTTTTGGTTGTTATAGTTAGCTCTAAGTAAGGGCAATGATTCTCCTAAAGATAACACGAAAGAATCCAAGTTATACTCATGATTAATTCAAGATGGTACTTGCCTCAGAAAGAGTTCTAGTCAATTTAGAAAGAGAGAAGGTAGCTGCTACAATTTTCAGGTTTTCACCTCCTCCAAAAACTTGCGCGTACGTTCATCCATAGGAAACAGCTGAAGATGCAGCTTTTGAATGTGAAGAGGAGAATGTAGTCTCACAGATGTTGGAACTTCTAGATGCCTATACCGGGTGCTAGTAGATGCCGTCACAGGAAACTCTGGATGCATCGATGGAGTAGGAGGTAAATCCAAGTAACATCTATTATCATTACCTGTAAAGTTAACAAAAACAAATTTTCGTCATAAACAACAACAACAACAAGCCTTTATCCCACAATGTGGAGTCGGCCACATAAATTCTTTTTCTCCATTGTGTTCTGTTAAGGGTCAAATTCTAATCTACATCTAATAAAAAAAGGTCATTTCTAATATTTTCTAACCAAACTTTTTAGGTCTACCTCTACCTTTCTTTACATAAGTCAAATCTAATACATCTACTTTTCTAATCGGGTCATCGGAAGGCCATTGTTTTATGTGACCAAACCATCTAAGACGACTCTATCTAATCTTATCTTCCAGTGGAGCTACTCCAACCACTTCACGTATATGCTCATTTTGTATCCTCTTTTTAAGAGTAAAACTACTCATCCATCTGATCATCCTCATCTCTGCAACACTTAACTTAATATTATAATTCACTTTTAATGGCCAACATTCTGCACCATAAAGCATTACAGGTCTCCATATGTTCAGTTTTAGATCCACTCAAACGAAAGCCTTTAGACTCTAAAGTTGACCTCCATAATTCAAGTTTACCTTCAACTCCCTCTCTAATCTTATTAACAAGAAGAATATCATCCACAAAAAGCATACACCAGGGTACAATCTCTTGCAAATGTCTAGTGAGAACATTCATGGCTAAAGCAAAAAGATATGGGCTTAAGGATGATGCTTGATGTAAACACCATGTTCAAGGAAAAAGACTAAAAAGTTTCGTAAACACCGTGTTCAAAGAAAAAGAAATTACACTGTCACCAAAAAATTAAAATAGGATGCTTTATGACCTGATGCCTGCAGCGTCCTCTGTTTGGGAGAAGAATTTAAGCTTTTCATTTTTATACATCGCTCCATTTCAACGGCAACCTGATTGTTATCTGGAGAATTACAAAAAAAAAAAGAATAAAAAGGTTCATCTTGGATGCTAAAAGAGGCTATGGAGCATATTTTATTCCATTAGCCATCAATAGGAAAAGTCTTACAAATTCGTTAAAGCATTGAAATCAAACTTAAATGAGAAGCGGGGTTGATCTATTCAAAGAAAAAATACTGATAAACATATAATAACAAGGTTAAGTCGCGCATTATATCAATAATTATCACCAGTAGTTTTACGTTTCTGTATAGAAACCTTCCCAACTGAGGTTCCAGATTTCCTCCAGCCAAGTCCTCTAGCAGCTTTACTTTTCACAGATATCCCATGTGCTGTTTTATCATCTTTCTTAGATTTATCTTGCGCAGATAGATCAGTAATTGTTTGACCCTGTAGACCAGATTTCATGCTCACTAATTCAGTTTGACCGAGAAGTGTAGTAGCAAAGCCCAACAAGGAGAATGAAAAGTTCAATCCTAATCATTTGAATACAATCAGAGCAGAACTAGCAAATAGCAAGAAATATGATTCATGCATTCTGAAATTGCCTTTAATATATCTATTTATTTGAATATAAAATAATGTAAGAGAACTGGTTTTTTTTTTTTAAGTGTGAAATTTAGAGTGAGGCAAACAACTAAACAGCAGTGGTAAGATTAACCCTTAGTGTTCTTGGGAAGTAAAGCCTAATTAAAACCGCAAAAATAAGATGTTGAGCTCTGTGCAGATAAAAAGTTAATGAATTTAAAAAAAAAATAATGAAGATGAGAACCAAGATAGAATTCCAATCTATTCCTTGTAAAAATCAAATTACAAATCTCCAATTTTCCTTATACTCAAGCAACTATGCATTTCATAAGCTCAAGGACAAGCAACCACATAAGGGAGAATCGCAAGCACAGAATAAAAAAAGTGGTACCCCGGCATGGAGATAACACAAACAACCACTAGTTACATGAACGATAGAGAGCGTGGTACCATGACGTTGATGATCAATGTTGTGGCACTGGAGATGGATGATCAAGTGAGGAAACAAGACGGAAAGATGCAATGGTGGTGGGGGTTAGCGTTGTGACCTAGAATAGATTACATCAATCATCCCTATCTTCGAAAGCAACAAAACAATCAAAACGATGAACAATAAGAGAACAAAACACAGAAGGTTGAGCGCGGGTACAGGATTTGTTAATAGAGGCTTCCTGAGCCAAGAGAGTAAGCTTGATATTGGGTTTCAGCCAAACGCCCTTCTCATGGTGAGACGCTCTATTCTCAGTTACACCAATTCTTAATTGACCAGTTACAAAATATAATTTATTATTTATCAATAAATAGAATAGCACACAAATAATGGCACTCCCTTATAATAAACCACTTGAATCAGTCCCATTTAAAAAAATTGAGTACCTTCAACAAAAATCAATCACCATTATCCATCCACCCTAATTGCATCACTTCTTACTTTACAAATAATTACTATGGTTGTCATTTCCACTTAAAATGAAATGCCCAAAATGGCAAAACTCCAACCTCCACATCTCCTCCTCACCTTCCTTCTTCACTTGGATCAGCGGCATTAAATTTGCTTGACCAACATTTGTCTAAGGGGTACCGTTGAAAGTGGCGGCGATTCAGCCATCAAGATCTCTCCATGAGAGCCATAGCAGGGAGGTTGGGATTTTGCCATGTTGGGCATTTAGTTTCGAGTGGAAATGGCAGTTGATGTCGTTACTTAAAAGATATGGAATGAGGAAACCAACGCATATGAACAATAATGATTGATTTTTGTTTAAGGTATATAAAATGGTCTTGATTTGAGGGGTTTACAACAATTGTGACATTACTAATATATTATTATTTCCACTGATAAATAGAAATTGCTATATTGTTGCTGGCTAACTGAGAATGGACAGATTCTATATGTCACGGGTTAAAACTTTTTTGATTGAAAATTAAATCCATTAATAACTTTGGCACTTATATGAGAAAGAAGCAAAATTTGTTTTTATTCTAGGAAAGCTTAATTTAAAGTATTTAGGATGTTTATAACATAATTTTGTATCAAATAATTCAAAGAATCAATAAGAATTATTGCTCTTACCAATCAATTCATGGGTTGTCCTAATTATAATTAATTCTATAGTTGCTTTTAATTATCTAAATATTTTATGTTCCCTACTAGAGGCTCTCCTAGATTTGTATAAAATGATCACATAAGATGGAATAAAATACTCAAAGCAATTCTCTCAATCAAGCCAAAGATTAAATAAAAAACAGTAACTAAACAGACAGAACAAACAAAGCAGCCAATGTTTGGATAGCAAAGAAATAAAACCAATATAGAAGACCCAAGCAATCTAACGACATTAGAGAACGCAACATATTCTCTATAATGAATCAGATGTTTACACCCAAAACAAACTATATAATCAGAAACTATAAAAATAAAAGCAATGAAAGTAAAACCAAAGTCCCGAAAGTCAATTTGCATCATTTGCATACGTATCTTCCAACAAGTTTAAATGAGGTTTAAACCACCGAATTAAATTGTTACCTTGTAAAATCAATGCATGTTTATCTACTAATCACATTTCTTCTTAAAAATACTAATACCAATTCATCTGTAGCCTATATTTAAATTTCTCAAAAAAATTGAATAAACTAAATCAAGAAAATAAAGTTAAAACAAATCAGCCCAGAAAAAAGAAAATTAAAAACAAGGAGTTCATAAATCTAGCTACTGCTCCTAAATCCTTAAAGAAGCCAATGATTAATGATTATTATTCAGTCCTTGAATGTCCATAGAAAGAAATTTAAAATTGATATTAACAGTGCTATGAGCATAAAGGCCATGAGCATTAAAAAAAGAGCATAAAGGCTCTTGCCTTAAAAGTCCGTATATAATCAAACACATTAATAAAAAAGTATAGCAACAGAAAAAAACAACCAAAATCAAGTTTAACATGCAGGTCCGACTCCATAAAGCTGAGAACAATCAAATTGTACTAGTTCGCAAGGGGTTGAAATTGAAGAACATTAAAAAGAAAAAAAATAGTCCTAGAGCGCATACTAGCTTCTCGTTTAGCCACCCCAAAAACACGAGAATCTCAACCGATGAATAACATAATTAAACAAAATAAATTGACTTATAAATAATATGATAGAAAGACCTCAGCATGTGAGCAAACAATAGAAATAGTTTGAATATCTAAAAAATTCTACGAAATGTTGAATCTAAGGGGTTGTTTGGTAGCAAGATTAAGGCAGCATATAAGCTAAATTCTGCCAAACCGTACAAAAAACAATTTTAAATCATACAGAATTGTAAATCCCATTTCCAGTCTGCTTTGTATAACTACTCTCCTATGGCTTCCCATGCCAGTTTTCTCCTGCTATGGTAACCAAGCCGAATAAATTTTCATTCTTTATATATATTAGTGCCATTGATTAAAGTCATTTAAGAAGAGAATCAGCCACTCACATCAATCTTAGAAGAGTAATTGAATATGAACAAGTTCCTCTAATTACAATGCATTAATTACTCAGAATTATTTGATTCTCGTATATCAATAAATCTTCCAATTCACAGAGGTAGTTCCAAGTCTCTTTAACCTCTCTATAAATAAGCTTTCCATTCCACCTCCAAGCTTCTTTCACGCACATAAGCTTTCATATAGTTTATAGAATATAGTGGTACCAAAATTCGTGAAGTTGTTTCTCCTGTACATAACAATTTATTTTTCTTAGAGATCTTAAAAGAAGTCACCTCTCAAAAGTTCACAGCCCCTCGATTAGATATTGAATCTTGGTATCTTCTGTAACATAATCATGTGATATTGATTAAAATTTTCCCTCTTTTCCTTAGTGCACTAGTCTTAATTTTAAGTTTCTCCTTTGATTTTAAATTGCTTGATAATTCCACGACTTCTACTATTTCTTTTAGGAATAGATCTTGTTCATTCTCATTGGAAGTCCAATCCTCGTTAGATGCTAACAACATTGATATAAACCGCTTTATATAATCCCCTCAAAATATAAGTGGTCTAAGGCTTCACACGCTTGATGAAATTAATTCTAAAATTTGCACTTATAGAAAATTTTGAAATCAAAATAAAATAAATCTTAATCAATCCTAAAGACTAGTCAAAGAAAATATTTAAGAATGTTATCCATTTAAATTGTATTTTGGTAATTTGTAGAAAAAATGCATTAACGAAAATTTTAATATACTCAATATAAACAAAATGAAGAAGACCTTCTCTCCTTAACCACAATCTTAATTATCTAATCAACAACAATTGATGATCCAAAGTTACATTCATAGCAACATTAAAAAAAAAAGAAATAGTAGGCATCAATCAAAGATAAAAGAACAAAAAACTCCTAGATAAATTGAAATAAATTATTATCTAGCATGAAATTATCCTAATACCAAATAATTATAACATGATTTTGATACGCTAGAGAGGCCCACCTAGTGAAGCCCGGGGAGTTAATATTCATTATGTAAAGAGGAGAATCAGGGAAGAAATAATTCAGAAAGTTTATTTAAGGAATGATCGCTGATTTGAATTTAGATTAGGGAGGAAATTAGGAAAGGTTTATTTAAGAAAAGAGAGTTGGTTTAATTCAGATTTGGGAGGGAATTAAGAATGTTTTATTAAGAGAGAGCTTATTTAAATTCAGATTTTGGAGGGAAATATGATGGTTTATTTAAGGGTAATTAGGTTGTTTTATTTTCATTATGTGGTTTATGTTTGTTGTAGTTTGCTTAAAAGTTGTTCATAGTGGCATCTAGGATTTGTAGGAGAACTGATATACCTCTCGAATAGTAGATCACTTGTATTTTTCTTTTTATTAAAGAGAATAAAAAATCAATCCCTATCTTCATATTCTTACAGCTTCTACTTGTTTCTTTCGTTGTTTTTACTTCCAAGACGTATCAGATTTTCATCTAAAACTCTTTAAGTCCTTACATTTAAGGACTAAATTAACAATTAAGTTTATAGCTTGATTATCTTCTCCATATATGTGAAAAATCATAATTGGACTTTGAAACAAGATTTTTAATTTCGCACTTAATTTTGAAAATATTTCATTTATTTCGCATATCCTTTTGAATATAGGGGATAAAGCATAAACATAGTTTTAATGGAAAGATTCTAATCACATGAAAAGGCCAACTTAATTAGCATCAACTTAAGAATCCTTTATCAAATATTTATAAAAAATCTTTTTAAAAAATTTTACTTTGAGCAGCATGAATCAAATTAGTAAAGGAAAAAATAGTTTGAGAATCTCAAAAAATTTACGTGAGACCATCTACTAGAGCATGGAAAAATGTTGAAGCTAAGGGACAGTTTGGTAGCAGGATTTAGAAAGGATTTAGGCAAGATCTAAGCTATATCCTGCCTAACGATACAACAAATCATTTTAAATCAGACAAAATCAAAAATCATGTTTCCCCTCTGTTTTGCCTTAAATCTCGCCTACGGGCTGTTTAGTTGCAAAGATTTAAATCTAGTATTTAGTTAATCCTACAAATCCGGAATTAGTAAATCTTGAGGGTGGGTATTAAATTTTGAAAATTATTTGACAAGGATGTTAAATCTTGATAAATCTTGTCAAATTGTTTGCCAACACAAATCAATTTTTATGGCAGTTAGATCATTGAAAATGCTAGTTAATAATTACACTATTGGTTATGTGGTTAATACTATAATAACTAAGTATTTAAATATTTAATTACAAATTACAATAGAATTTATCTAATTAATTATTTAAATGTTAATTACCAATTCTAATGTTATCTATCTAATTAAATATTTGGGTGTTATGGCTTTTAATAGGACACAATGGAGAAAAAGGATTCATGTAGCCGACCCCATGTAGTGGGATAAAGGCTTGATGTTGTTGTTGTTGTTGTAATATGAGTGGGATATTAAGCTTAACTTAAACGGCAAAGTTAGGTTTTTCCCTCCCAGTTCATAATCTTGGTTTTCAGATGCTTTACTAGCCTACCTGCATCTAAGTAAGCGTGCTTTTCCCAAATTTTTTTAAGTTACAAAGGAATCTACAAAACTTAGACCTAACACAGCCACTGATGCAAAAAACCGAATACAATTAGAGAAATCCTTCGGACGGAGTCGTGGCGATCGAGCTCTTATTCGGCCGGAGTGCAGGCAAACAATCTAGAGGACCGCAATATTAGGGAGACGGAAGAAGTTAGGAACCCTTACCGGAGTCGTGGCGATCGAGATCTCCTTCGGCCGGCTGCCCGTCGAGCCTAAGGAGACGGAGGAACATGTATTTCTCCGAACCTTTTTCCCTCTTTTCTTTTCCATAAATCCTATAAATCCCCTTAACTCCCAATTTAGTAAATCCGAGGTTGATGGCGAATAATGGAGAACGACTGATTTAACTTGCGGTGAGATTTAGCTTGACGATTTTTGTCCTTTGGCATGATTTAAATCAAATCCTGCTACCGAACAGCCCCCTAGCATTTGAGTGCGTTTAACTTAAATCTACAAGTCTCACGAACATCCTTTTCTTCTTCACAAACCGCTGCTCACTTCGATGCCTTCTCAAGAGAGCTCCCGTCCCGACTTCCCTGCTTCTTTGTCTTCGGAGGTTTCAGAAATTGGTAATATCGTCGACCAAAGCAAGGAAGAAGAGCGGAGGAGGGCAGCGTAGAATCCAGGACCTGTATACCGCACGAGCAAGAAATCAGGCGAGTATTTAGGGGCTGTTTGGATGAAAGATTTAGGCCCGATTCGAAGCCGATTTGAGCTAAATCCAGCCAAACGGCCAAAAATGCAAAACCAAATCTCACGGTAAATCAAAGCCGAGGTTGACGGAAAATTCCCTCTTTTCGTGGTAAATCTCATCCTTTGGTTCGGCGGATTTACGGGATTTGGCCGAAGAAGCGCGCGAAAGGGAGAAAGTTACCTCACAACAAGCGAGCTCCCGTTGTTGCTTCCGATCAAAAAATGTCGTAACTTCCGCTCCAACAGGAAGTGAACGTCGTCGAAGGAGCGAGTTCGAACAGCGACGAAGAACTCGTACAAAACTCAACACTCCTGCGAAGGAACGAAGCCGAAAGAAATAGAGAAGATAAAAAACCTAGACTCCGCTAAGATATTGTTGGTTAACTTCATATAATTTCAAATATTAATAATTAAGTAAAATTAATTAAATTATTATTTAAACACTTAGTTATTTCAAAATAATTAATATGATTAAATATGATTTTAAATAAAATAATTATCATAAAATATTATAAATAATAATTAACCATTTTAAATCTTTTAACCACCATAAATAGTTTAATTATTCGAGAAATTCATGTCAAATCTTTTAATCGCCTTAAATCCTGAATTAAATAGTCAAACAGTCACACAGGATTTATCATAAATGTTGCCAAACAATTTTAAGGATGTAACCCCCTCAAGATTTCGTAAATCTGGATTTATATGATTTATGAACTCCTACTTAAATGAAATATTGGGTGCTACCAAACAACCCCTTAGGGTTATGGAAGAAGAGAAGTATTTGAAGTTTCACACTAATAAGGGTGTGTTTGGATGCATGATTTACTTCGGATTTAAACAAGATTTAAGCTAAATCATGCCAAACGCAAAGTTAAATCTTCACAACGTTTTCGACCTTTTGTTCCTCAATCCTGAATTTCGTAAATCCAATAGATTGGCTTATTTAAAGATTTGGTCAAAGAAGCGCACTAAAGGGATGAAAGATCGTTACCTTTGCAGCGAGCAAATTCCCGTCTTTACTTCCGATCCAGCATTGTCGAACTATCGTGACTTCCCATCTGAAAGGAAGGAACGTCATCAAAGGAGGCAAAGGAGATAGCGAAGTCGAACGGCAACAAAGGTGTTGAAGAGAGGAAAAACAAACCATATTCAGGGGTTAGGAAATAATGTGTTGACTTACTAGTCCAGTGAGCATTGAAAAAAAAAATTAAAACTAAAAGTATTGAAGCAAGTTGCCCGTTAAACATTACAATATTATTTTTATGTTAAATTATTTCAAAAAATTTAATTTTTAAATTTCTCTCTAATACCGACAAAGAAAATATGCTATAGTAACATAAGTTTGTACATTCTATCCACCGCTCATCTTAGCACATTCAAAAAATGAATAAATAAAAAACAAATATTTGTTTGAGGAGAAAAATAAGGAGAAAAGACTATTGATCATTTATGCAGTTCAGCTTAGAAAACTTTATGAGCAATGCTAAGCGAATAAATTTGCTATAGTAAAAGATATTTTTCTAATATATTTTGTAATTAAATTATTTAAGAAACTTTTTAATTTAAAAATAAACATCATTTATATTTCATCAAACTCTTCTCCCGATAAGCACGTTGTCTTAAAAATAAAGAAGCTACGTTCTCTAAGTTGAACTGTATACATGGCCAATAGTCTTTTCTCTTTACTTTTCTCCTCAAACAAATATTTTTTTTATTTAATATATATTTTTTTTACGTGCTGAGATAAGTGATGGATAAAATATGCAAATTTATGTTACTATAACATATTTTTATTTGTCCGAATAAGAGAGAAATTTAAAAATTAAAAATTTCTAAAAATAATTTGAGTAAACAACTTTATGTAATTTGAGTCATCCATTTTTATCAATAAAATTAAAAGAAACTAATTATTTTAATTCTTCTAACTTGGATTGAAAAAAATAATTCAAAGCAGAGAATGTTAAAATTCGGTTCCTGAATAATAATTATGTTAGTTCTTCTTGTCTCAACCTCTAACAATAACATTGATGTTTGACATCACCAATGTTAGCATCTGCCATCTTTTTTTAAGAAAGAATTACTTACCTTAGGGACTATAAATTTTAACGATCTCCAAACTCGATTCCTCTGTTGAGGGAGATTTTATTCTATACGGAGGTCAGACAGGAGATCCATCCGGTTAAGCACTGGGTATCCGACGGTACCGAGTGCGGATACCGAGTTGGTACCCACCAATAAGATGACATGACACATTTTATTGGTCTCCAGACGTCCTCCGCATTGAATAATTCTTCCTGTTGAGGATCGTCAACATCTTTTTTAAGAAAAGACATGAGCATTACTATATAAATTGTAGACCTTGACCACCTACAAACATAATATGTTCGAAAAAGATAGTCAACACCTTCTTCAAAAGATAACTGCAATTAGGCCATAAGTATTACGAGCCTCGAACTCAATTGTTCAAAGAAAGTAATCAAAACATAATATTTATTCTAGAAGAAGTATAATTATAATTGATAGGATTTTACTTTGTTCATAGCCCTAATTGAAGATCCTCATTGATATCTATAGGGCAATCATGCCATATAATTTTTACCATAAACTTTTGACTCAATGTACATTTTCACACAACGTAATATTTATTGTCTGAAAAATATGTGGGCAATTGAAACATCTTCAAAATTAACTTAATTAGGCACAAATCCTAATGCATATTTAAATTGAAAACTTCATTGCCTATCATTATCAATAATATTAATGCACATCATCACCCATAAAACCGATACACAGTATTGAGACCAACTATTTCACTGTCAGCATATCTTATATTGTATTAAATCCTTCCAAAAAAAAAATGATCTCTTAAAGATAACTCCCGCACTTTAAGACTCCTCCAACTTATATAACAAAATATCTTCCCTATAGTTTTTTACATCTATGATAACGTATTAAATCCTTCCCCAATTGCAGGGAAAAGCATCATATATAATCAATAACAAATGAAAAAAAAGTTCAGATAATAAACAATTTTTTCTCTATCACCCTATACATATATATATAAGGTTGCACCTTTCACAGGTCATGTTAAGGTGCAATGACTTAAAACAAATTTTAGCCACTTATGTACCCAGTCATGGAAAAATTATTACTTGCCGTGTCCGGATGCGTCCGAAGGCCAATTTGGACGTGTCACATCACCCAATGCACAGTACATTGGATGACATGGTGCATCCAACTTGACCTCCGGACACGTTCAGACACCACACATAACAATCTCTCACAGTTACGACAAATGAAATCACTTGTAATCCTAAGCAGGAGAAGATAAGAAACTACAGAATTCCTCCGTGCACCCTAAAAAAAATCCTCATAGAAGAAAGAATCATCCAACTCAAAATAATGCAAAGAATAAATATAAGATTACCCTACAGGATAAATAACAAAACAAATATCAATGTACACAAAAAAAAGTTCAAACCCAACACTGAATGGTGACATGCAAGTATATAACCAATAGTAAATGCTAAATCAAAATCATAGGAAAATTACAACCCCTAATCAAATATACAATTAATATATTTGATCCATTAAGGTAAGCATAAAATACAAAGAGAATGACCACCCACAGTTGAAAACATAGATCTATATGGCAAAAGCTTAAGAAAAGCACCACAAAAGCGACATAGTCCACCAACATATAAAAAACTTGGCCAGAAAGCACCACATAGTAGGCATTAAGAAGAACCCAGGTAGTCAAAAGGTAAAGAAAAAACATCCTATAGCACTTAATACAATAAAGTACAGTGCCTGTAGAAAAGTCATACAAAACATAACTTCATGATCGATATACAGAATAACAATGTTTGCATTCAAATTTATGAGAATATTGACAATACCATCTGAATTACTGTGAGGACAGCAGTTTCTCTCTTGAATCTATTGGGTTTTGGTGAGAAACACTTGGAAATCCAAGTGTTTCCTATCAAAAATCCATGAGCTTCATTTTAATGGAAGAAAATTACTTAATATTTATCAAATGAGAAATAGCATCCCCTTTGACATTTTAAGGAATGCACCTATGTCAAGAGATTCTTTGAAACAGCTAACAATATTGAGTTTACAATAAACAACCAGAGGATCATATCAAATGACCACTATAGCATATGCATCCTCTTGATAACCATGATAAGAGAATTAATTAGAGTAAAGTTATCAGATCCCTTAACATAGGTAGACTTAGGCTTCATTTGAGATAACTTTCTTATTGCTTCTTAAAGCTGCTTTCTAGTACAAAACAAAATTTTTAATTTTTGTACTAGAAAGCAGCTTAAAAATTTTTGTACTAAAAAGCAGCTTTAAGAAGTAGTAAAAAATCCATCCCAAACGAAGCTTAAGGCTTCATTTGGGATGGCTTTCTTCTTGCTTTCTAAAACAGCTTTTTAGTACAAAAATTTTTTGAATTTGAAATTTTTGCACTAAAAAGCCATTTTAGAAAGCAATAAGAAAGTTGTCCCAAACAAAACCTTAATCAACCTAGATTCATTTAAGAGGAACATCACTTTATACGTTAAATCCAGTTTGAAACCATTGTCTTTCAGCAAGGTTTAAGAAGATGATTACAAGGCTAAGATTGGGCAACTCAGTATCAACTAGACCTACATTTGAAAAATGCATCCCAACCTGTCTTTATGAGCATTTTCTAAGTCCAAACTTCCGACACCAATTATATATTTGTGTGCAATAGTATGAACACATAAATCTATACTATTATTATAAAAATAGTTTTTATTTTTTCTTATATTGAATCTCAACCATCAAATCTATGATAATCATATTAAATTCTAAACTTTCACTACTTTTAGTTCATCACTCTCTTATGTCATTTTAAAAGAGAAAATAATCAAAATAATCTCTTGACCTATATAAAGAATCAATATAATCCCCAACTATAATCCTTCATAAAAAATCAAGAGACCATTTTGATCATTTTCTCCATTTTAAATTCTCATCTTTAACTTCAAAATAAAAATGCTAGATGATTTTTTTTTTTTACTTTTTATTTCATTTCCCCAAACTTCATTTACCTTTTTTTTAAGCTTAGGGCTCCTTGCATTATAGAAACTTAGCAATTAGATGCTATATATTTGTGCGTGAAAGATACAATTATTAAGGATTTGACAACAGGCCGGGAACTATAAATAATACCATTGATATAAAATACTTAATCAAAATATTTAAATAAAAAAAAACTAGTGGCTTAAAATTGCATCAAATTTACAACCCACAAAAAATACAAGTGCTCCAACCAAAACCAGTACAGCACAGCAGAAGAGAAAATCTGCAAAAAGTAAGAAATGAAAATGGGGAATCGCAAGAGGAAAAAAGCACTAAACCCTTAAACTTTTCCATAAAAATTCTAATCTCAGTTGGCCATTGATCTCTTTTAGGCCATCTAATCACTTTGTGTGTCAATTAAGAACAAATCCCAACTCCTCACATTGTATATTCTGTTATCCCTTTCACGTCATAAATATATAGGGTAGATAAAATTAAGAGATAGAATCTTTCAGTCATATGAAGTTGTTAAAATAACATTAAAAAGATCACACCTATCATTCGGAAGCAATTTCCTAATCAGTTCTATAGCATAAGAGCACTGGGAAAATAGATGCTTGTGATTCTCTTTGCAAACATTATAAATGATATTACCACCTTGACTAAGAATACCATTAGTTTGAAGCCCGTCAATACAGGTCCACCAAGTAAAAAGCAAGTAGTTTAGGGCGTTACATTTAAACCAAACAAAGTTGGACCAATCCATCTTAAGCTTACCCGAGAGAAGAATAACAGAAGCATCTGAAATTTTATAAAAGCTTATCATATTCATTCAAAAAGTTGATTTTACCAAGTATATCAATGCAAGAACAGAAGCTGTGAATTTAGCAGGTGTTTTTTTTTAATAAGAAAATGAATTCATGCATTTCAAAAAACTCACAAAGTGAATTATTTACCCAAGAATCGTAGAGGGACCAGGGATGACCATCCCCACATTTAAGGTAACTCAGTGACACATTTAATAAAATAAGAGACAACTTCCTCCACAATTGAAAAAATCTTATAGAAGTACCTATTCCAGATAGAGCCATAGAAATGTTAGCACCACATGGCAAAGTAGTTATTAGACAAGAAAACTCTCCACATGATTTCATTTTGAAAATCTTATTCAAAGTAGAGGCCGAGAAAAGCCCCATTTCCCTTTTTCTCTCAAAATATAAGTCCTATCAGAAGAAATTATAGGCAATTTTTATATTATCCCCATGAAATAAAATCTAGATGTAGACATAATTATTTTCTTTAGAACAACTTGCTAAGGGACACAAATCAAAACCAACAAGCAAAAACTCATCACAGAAGGACATTATGAGCTCGAAACAGCTAACAAAAGAAAAATATTTTGGATCCAAATCTACAAGCACATGCTCAACCTATTAAAAAAGCATGACACTGCTTAACTAAGAGTCTACCAGCACTAAAAGGATTGCCCAAATATTTTACTGGCAAGGACCCCAACTTGATACCAAAGATGTCTCGGAGATGTTGATTATAAACAGAAGCAAAGAAACATACTTCAGATTAGTTGGCATGCAATCCTAAGTAACAAGCAAATATGGAGAGACAAGAATAAAATGAGCACAATGAGTTTTTTCAACTTTTTCAAACGCAACATGTCATGCCCCATGAGAAAAACAACTTCTTCATTTTTATGCTCCCAAAATCAATCATGTCCAATACCCCGGCTAATAATCCTCTCCTAAATGGAATTGAACCATCTAATTAAGATAAATCCAATATCATTTATTTAGTCATTTTTTTGGGTGTACCAATTATTGAGAGATTTTATACTCCTTCAATAGATTATCCAAAGTTTTTTAAGTTATAAAAAATTTTATTTTTTATTATGCGATTGCTTAAATAACCTATATAAAAAGAATAATATATGGCCACATCAATTTAAAAAATATCTATTTTAAATATAAGTTTAATCGAGGATTATAGGTTTATTCAACAAAACTATAAGATCTTTTCATGAAAAACAAAAGTTTTCTTCGAAGGAAAAAATAATAATGTGATAAATCACTGCATACATGTTCCATTTCACGCATGAAAATGAGAAATGGAGAACCTTAACTCAAAACATCTAACAACACACACTATGTTCATAGCAAAGCTAAGAGAAGAGGAGGAAAGCAAAGCTCAAAGCAATCTAATTTGCTTAAACATGGAGCTCAGAATTGTTGCCTATATTGATGATATATAATGCAATGAGTTGTTAAAGGAAATAGGGCAGAACTATACAGTTTAAGCTGCAGTAATTGTTTCACTGCTCGCTGAGGATTCAGAGCTCTTTGGGGGTGTAGGTTGTTCAGCTTTCTTTACACTAGAGGAAGGGCACTTCTTTCTCGCATTTCTATCATCTATGGTTATCTGCTTTTCCCTGCACTCACTGCTACAAAAAGCAACTTCTCCCCTATAAAATGAAAGAAACATTCAGCGCCAAGTCGTTTTGCTTTTTTTTTTAATTGAATTTTGTCAAAAACAAGATAAAATTTTGGCAGTAAAGAAAATAAAAATTTAGATGTGAAATAATTTAGAAATAAGAAAGAACTGTTTTCCTAAGAGTATGTTCTCAAAAAAAAGTACTCTCATCATCAACATTATCCCTGGTACTCTAAATCGATTTAATGAATCCTAATTTTTCATTCTTATTCAATAGTTCATGAGGTAACATATGGGTGCATCTTCTACTTTCCGTAGAAATGCCCAAAATACTAACATATATTCCAGTGCCTTGTTTTCAAAAGTGCTATTTCTATTATTTATCTAATATTCATTTGGGATGACTATAATTTTCTATAAGATTAGTTGTCAAATTGGGGTGAAAAAACTTTTTCTAAGACTACTGTGAATATTATAAACTTTTTTCCCTTAAAAAAAAACTACTTTCCTATAGCTATCAAATTCTAGCAAATTTGATTGTGAAAAGCTCATTCTCACTGCTAAAGCTCCAAAAAAATAATCAAAAAGCTATAGCAAAATAGAAATGTAGTAACAATCTATTAAATAAAACTATCACAAATCTAAAATAGTCATTTATTAATCTGCATGCATTAATATTATAAACTTTGTAATACTAACTTCATTGTTAGTGCCTTCTTTGCCACCAAAATGTAAATTTATTTCCAATGCTAAAAAAGTGAGACTCAAGGACATTAATGTGTCCAATAAATATTAGGGACCATAATTTGGGTACAGTAATTTTAAGTAACTTGGAAGCAGGATTAGCTTTTGATGAGGACATTGAATGATTCGTTTTGGTTAATCTCTCTTGCAACTCTTTGGCCTAAGCAAAGTTAACGTTTCTAAATCTTAACTCTATCTTGCATGATCCCCATAAAATTATAAAAAGCAAACTTTAATAATTCTCTTTTAATTTTGATCGTAACTCCTAGTAGTTTCACATCAGATTTGATCATGTCATTGTTAATTCTTATGGTAAGCACCAGTGATTTGCCCGCACATGACAAATTTTATTGGCAAAAATTTGCAAAATATTTTATTCCCCAACTAAGAAGACAAAATTATATCCCAGAGTTATTTGATAACATATATCCTTCTGAACTCTATTATGAGAGTAATAACAATACTATGAAAATACTGACAATGTTTTAAGTTTTAGAGAACAAAAAAAAATGAAGAAATGGCAGCAAATTGGTACAATTTTAGAACCAATAAATCAGCAACTCAAGTTTTATGACTTCGAGAGTTAATAAACCATGAAGGACCTTCAAGTAATTTGTCTTACAACAATATAACATAAACCCAAGGTAAATTATACATTAATCATTTATCAAGAAATGTTATTTTTATCAATTTAAAAAGGCTCATATGGGATAAGTCAAGATACATAAACAAATTTTGTAAGATTTAAAAATTGTACACATAAAAAGTTATTTACAAAACATGAAGAATCCATTATATGACTCTTGTTATTTGAAACAATAGGTCTGTGGCCATTTCATATCCATGGAAACTGATTATGCTCTTTCTGGATACAAAAGAAAAACCAATCGATTATATGCTTGGCTCCTTGACCAAGCTTCCACTCAGGCGAGCCAATTTTCTTTCTCATCGCATTCAAATTGTAATTAGGAAAACACACACAAAAAAATTCCTTCATAATAGAGATAAACAATAGTAAAACTGCTGCACATCAGTCAAGCAAATCACAGAACAAACAATCCAAACATTCAGATCAATATCTCAAGTTTCTCATACAACATAAATTTATAAAATAGACATATCAATGATATAACCAATTCACACATCAATAAAATGATACAATTAAGCATACTCTAGCAAGTAGCAACCCAACAGACGCAATATAGTTTGCATAGCAGAAGAAAAATCAGGAGAAACAAACAAATGCAAATATTGAAACATGCAGGCACAAATAAAAGAAGCCTAAAAAAAATAAAATAAAAAATAAAAAAGAAAAAGAAAAAAGATCATTACGTCTGCGAGCGCATTGCGCAGCTTTTAACCAAGAGCATGCAGAAATAGACTACATCGTCTGAGAAAGAACACTGCCATGTTTATCCGTGAAACCCAAAACAAAGTTTTCTGAGGAACCAAAGAATGTCATGTTACATTTCTTAATCGCAACAGGTAAAATTAAACCCTGATATATGTCCAAGCGCCCAAATCCAGATCAGGAACAGAAAAGTTTTCAGAAAACCAAAATCCGCAAGCATTCTAGAGAGTACAAAAGGGTTTTTATGGCTTCTTAGATTTATATCAACAATAGTATAATACCTATACATGAAAGTATCAAAACCAGGGCCGAGGCTGCGTTTGCAGAGACCACAAGCCGTGAGGAAGGGGTCGGCCTCTGCTACAGACGGATCCCTCGAGCATCTCCGCTTCCTGCTCCTCTGCACTGCCGGCGAAGGCGGCGGCTTTCCATCCCGCCTGGAATCTGCCGCCAGAGGTTGTGGAGGGATTTCAGCAGGAGAAGCTGCTGCCGCAAGATCAGGAGACAGTTCCGTGAGGCTCGTCGTTCTCTTCATCGGAGTCCGTGGTCTCTTCCCCATTAGCATACCCAACCTCCGCTCCCCCTTTGTCTCCCTCGTTCGGTCTCCCTGTCTTCATCTTTATTTAATAGGGCCGAGGAAGCTGCGAAGAATAGGTTGCGCTTTGGTTGCGCTTTAGTTGCGCTTTAGTTGCGCTAATTTTAAAATAATATTTTATTATTATCCGAACCTATCTCTGCGTTCGGTCACCTAACCCAATAATTTGCCTGACGGCGGTGACGGGATTCGAGGGAAGAGAAACGGGACAATAGAGGTCTGCAGTTAATCCTGGCCATTGGTTTAATCTTCCCATTCCGGCGTAGCCATCGTTTTTAACGTTTTATACCTCTACTCGTATTTTTCAGATTAGCACTCTAAGATTTTAAATTTATAGACTAGCACTTAAAAATTATTATTTACTCATGTAACATTAAAATTGTTAATATTAACAAAAATACCACTTACTTGCAAATGCCATCTAAATCCTCTCTCCCTCATCTCGCACATGTTGCACTTCGTTGGTCCCGCCAGGCCGCCACCATCATTGCACATCATTAATTAGTAATATGTAAAAAAGTTGTCATGAAGTTCGTTAGGGTGTGGCATCTTCCTACCGCTACAATTAACAAAGCAAAAACTCTTAAGGGAACTCATTAAGGCAAATCATCTCCCTAACACTCATACCCACCACTCCAACCTTTGTTATTGATACCTTCATCGACACTAAGAATGTTGTGAAGGTGCCCACGTAAGTTTGACAATGCTGTCCAAGGGCAATGGAATATTGTAGTTAAGAATGTGATATAAGATCTTGATAGAGTTTGTTGCAAAACCTCTCCCTGTCCCTCCTGCTCGTCATTCTAACCTTCATAGCTGATGCCCTCATCGGGGCAAAGGAAGTTGTGAAGGTTCGTACATAAGCTAGACGTACAATGTTTCCAATGGCAATGAATTAATGAAGTTTGAAATATGGTATATCACATAAATATTGAAATTTATGTGTTAAATATGTAAATAAAATAGTTTAAAACACTATGCATGTAAATCTCCATTTTTTTTAGCTTAAATGAGATAGTAGAGGTTTATAGTTCATCTTATTGTTAGTATCATTTTTATCCCTTAAATTTGTTTAAGGAATATTAAAAAAAAAATCAATGAAAATGTTAGTGTGTGAAAGGATTCATGGCCAAATGATGAAAAACTTGTTTCTTCAATGTTATATATTTAAATATTATAAATCATAATTTTCCATTTATTATTTCATAAAAAAGGTTGCTCAAATATAAGATTTCCTCTATGAAAAGCTAGTCATTGTACATCATGATGCATTTAATTGTTGCCCAAACAATGAACAGCTTTTCGAGGAGACTTATAAAGGGTTTAAAGATAACCTTCAGCTTCCTCTTTTTTGTGCATATATGATATTCAACAACCACAACATCAAGCCATTATCCCACTACGTGGGGTCGACTATATGAATATTTTTTCTATATTGTGTCATGTTAAGATTCAAATTCTTATTTAAATCAAATAAAAAAAGACTATTTTTAATATTTTCTAACTAAGTTTTCTTAGGTCTACCTCTTCCTTTCTTAACATAAGCCAAATATGATACATTTACTCTTCTTATCGGTTATCGGAAGGCTGATGTTTTATGTGACCAAAACATCTAAGGCAACTCTCTCTTATCTTATTTGTCATTGGAGCTACTCCAACCTTTTTACGTATATGCTCGTTTTATATTTTGTCTCTAAGAGTAAAATCACTCATCTACATGTGCATCCTCATCTCTGCAACACTTAACTTAATATTATGTTTCTTATTTATTAGCCAACATTCTGCACCATAAAGCATTGCATGTCTCACAACTATCTTATAAAATTATCCCTTAAGTTTAAGGGGTACTTTTTATCACACAACAAGTCCGATGATTTTCTCCACTTCAATCATCCAACTTGAATTATACTAATAATATACTCATCTATTTCACCATTACTCTAAACCATAAACTAGAGATATATAGAACGTGTACTCTTATTAATGACTTGAGCACCCAAAGTCACAATCTCTCCATTAAATATATTATTACTAAAATTACACACCATATACTCATTTTTAGATCTTCTCAAACAAAAACCATTAGACTCTACGGTTCACCTCCAAAATTCAAGTTTACCTTCGACTGCCTTTTTAATTTTATCAACAAAAAGAATATCATCAGCAAAAAGCATACACTAAGGTATATCCTCTTGCAAATGTCTAGAAAGAACATTCATGACTAAAGCAAAATGATATGGGATTAAGGCTTAACCTCGATGTAATCCAACTTAAATAGGAATATAATTGGTCAAACCACCTGGTTTTTGAACACAATCAATAGCTCATACATACATATCCTTAATGACTTGAATATAAGCATTATTAACCCTTTCATTTCTAGAACTCTCCAAAGCACTTCTCTTGGAACTTTATCATATGTAGATCCTTCTTATTATATATTTATTTATCTATCAAACCTCTCAATAAGCTTCCATAGTAGACCTACCCAACATGAATTCAAATTGATTTTGAGAAACATTAGTATCACGTCGTAACCTATGCTCAATAACTCTCTCCCATAGTTTTAAAGTATGACACATTAACCTAACTCCTCTATAATTTGCACTCTTATGCATCAACTATTTGATTCAATATGATATGCATGATACATTAAAGTATGACACTCTTGTGTGCATATATCATATTCATTATTATAAAATAAAAATGAAAGATATTAATTACAAACCTACACTAATAATGTCATATCTGATTTGATCAGCTTACCTATTGTATTCATTTAGTTGATTCAGTGAGATTGTAATTTGAGTTTGATATTTAGATTGTTTGTTCTCTAAATAATCAAGCTCAATATAATTATAGCATTCTAGAAAATTTCTGGTGGTAAAAAGAACTTATTTTATAGTGAAGATCCAACACACTATCATTGAAAATCGTAAAAAGGGAGAAACCACAAGTGGTGAAGCCCTGATGAGATGGAAAGCCTTTACCTTTTATGCCCCTTCAGAGGAGCTTGAAGAAGATGTGCTCGGGATCCTTTTGAAATAGAGGCCGCTCCCTTTCTCATGACTATTGACCTCCTTTTTTTTTTTTGCATCAGTCACTTACACAATTTTGTCACTTTCATTTCGTAGGTTGACACACCTATCGTTCGTCGCACCTGTTTGGGGTCTATTTATTGATATCATTTTTTTGCATATTTTTGTCCTCGAATGCATTTGAGTGAGCTAATTGAGCCTTGCAACATCTAATTCAATTCAAATTGATGTCGATCAAGGTTCAATTGCATCGATTAAGTTTTATTTAATAAAATTCACTTAATCAAACTCAATTGAACTCAAATTGACTCGAAATTGAGTCAAATTAGTCTTGATTACGTTCAATTAAGCTAGATCAATTTAGTTTAGATGTGTTGAGCCCAATTCAATTTGAGTTGGTGCCAATTTTTGGTTTGATTTTATTTATTTAATTCAGTTGAAATGAGTTGAACCCAAATTGACCCGAATTTAGCATAATTGGATCAGATTTTAGCCTAATTTTAGCCCAATGGGTTCAACTCAATTCCAATTTTAATTTAATTGACTTTTTAAACCAATTTGAATGTTATGTCATATCAAGAAATGAATATAATGGCTCTGATTGCATTGAAATTTTGACTCTGCCATTGCCAGACTCTATCGTCGCGTGATATCCTCAATTTGGAAAGAGGTTTAGACATTTTCTTTACAAAGCAGAGCGAACAGAGCCCATTTCCACACTTAGATGAAGCAGGAGATCACCCCTCGAGTAGCAAGAGGTGGATTTCCATCTCCTTTTCCCTATTCAGTCTGCCCTAGACTAGGCATTTTTTTTAAGACATCTCCCACTTGGTTCTTTTGACTCACGCGAAGAGAGAGCTGGAGTTGAGGCCTCTCCTCGATTCCTCTTCCCCGTCTCTAGCTTTCACACCTCTCAAACTCCAAGAGCAAAAAGAAAAGAGGGGAAGGAAGGGGGAGGGGTGTCAATTTCAGGTCACGGGTTGAACTCGGAACTGACCCGACACTGTTCGGGTCAACCCAAACCCGACCCATTTTTACAAACAGGTCAATTTTCTGGACTCAAACCCAACACGCTTCAGGTTCAGGTCAACCCGACACGACACGTATTTTTTGTGTTTGGCTGAAGAGCGTGAGAAAATGAGGAAGATATAGCGAGCTCTCGTCGCTACTTCCATTTTTGGTGAGGCGGTAGCGGCGGCGACTGTGAGGTAGCGGCGAGACAACGACTCAACGCGAACTCGCGGTGCAGCAACGAATTGACACGAATTGGTGGTGCGATGGCGGTGCGGCAGCAACAACGGCGACTGTGCTGCAGCGACAACAGCGGAGACAGTGATGCAGCGGCAGCAGCGGTGACAACCTCGAAGGAGACAAACTGGCGACTCAACAGCTAACAGACTGTGCAACTGCGGCTCGACGAGTCAAGTCATTTTGCGGGCAGGGCGGGCATGCCGGGCAATAGAAACGGGCAGAATCATTTCCGGGTCATTATCGAGTTTTTGGGTCAACCCAAACCGACATGTAACTCAAATCGTGTCAGATTTTTGAACCCTAATATGACCCGTTTGTTAATCAACTCGGGTTCAGGTCGGGTTTCGGGTCGTGTCAAAAACCCCTAAACCATATATAATCAAATAGAAAACTAGAGAAATCTAAAAAGTTCTAAAATCCTGTAACAAACTAAATTAGATTGTCTAAAGAACATTTTAAGCTAAAAATGCTTGTCATCATTCTCCCTTTGCGTTGAAAGAGCTCGACTCCATCGAGGCGCGTCATTGGGTGAAAGTTTGATGTAGAAATTATGATCAATCCTCCTAGGTCAAAGACTTTGTACCTTTGTGAATTAGCACATCCTAAAGACCATTGGCCCGCTGCATCAGTTACACAAAACCAAATCTTGCATTCCATAAGTAAATACCTTCCCCACCTATCAATACCTTAGAATATTGAGGAAATAATGCTACCAAATATGACAATGAATGTTGTGGCACTGAAACAACCTCATTCCTTGATTT